ATATAAGAAAGACTAGTGTCTAGCTGCTGAACTCATTCGCACATAATTATAGAGAGAATATTTAGAGCTGTCATCATTATCCAGAGAAATCAGACACTTCTTCACAGCCTGAGAGTGACAGAAAAATGGAACGATAATTAGGATGCACAAAGAAAGATGTAATGACCACAGATCCTGAGTCTTTTTTTAACAGTATTATAAAAATTTCCATTGCCCCAAATCAATCTCTTTAGTCTCTTATATAACAAATTGTCATCTGCCTAAAGTGTATCTTTGTTGTTTAGAGGACCTTGAAGGCAGTGTTGTTCACCCTTGCAAAAGCAGAAAACCTTTTTACTCTGAAGGTAAAAATCCGTATTTACCCAGGGCATTATGGATTCAATTTTGAGACAGGCCAGCTCCAAGGGTAACTTTAGCTGCTAGTGTAAATGACAAGATCCTAGGAAGAAAAGCTGGTTATTTAATTAAAAAAAAAAGTCTTGTGTTTAGCGCCTCTCAGCATTAATATGTAGCAGATTAAGACAGTTTGAAAATGCAAAAAGCAGAAAGATGAAGCACATAATGAGATATTTAAAACCACTGAAAGAGACAAATCAGGAYTGAGGCCATGGTGAAGAGAAAAAGCGTCTGTTTGGTCCTTGAAAGTTGGTAATTCAGGGCCTATAAAGCCTGAACAGTAGGGAAGAGGGCTGAGGAACATGGAAGAGGACAGAAAGCTGTGATCAAAGAGTATCACAAGCAATACAGAGACTGYGAGTTGCCTCCTGTAGAGAGTAAGATCTGGTCATTCTCATCTAACTAATGCTTTGGCTCCTTGTAGAAGATGTCAATTTAATGTATCCTGTCATTTCTGACAATGAAATCCCTTGCTGTGTGGCTAGTGATGCTTATCACTGGTATCTCATGTGCAGAAATTACCATCCTTTTCATATGTTTTAAAAAAGAAATTCAGATRTTGCAAACAGAAATTCTCCTCAGGTTCTTCTCAGGGAAATTCTGTCAGAATTTCTCAAGAATTTCTTCATTTTTATATGGCTAAACTTTTCATCTAAAATTACATGTTTTGTACATAGGTACAAAATYAATCTGCTTGTTTAATTTTCAGAATCAAAGAATAGTTTTCACTCATGCCATTAAGTCATTAAAAGAAGGAAAAAAGATTATACACTACTACAATTCAGTTTTTCAGATMATTTCTAACTTTTATTTGTAGCTGCTTGAAGACGGGGATATATTTAAAAACATTAGGTTTTTTTTGCATTCATTAGAAATATTCTCTTAATGCAAAAACTGATTGTTTCCAGGATTCCCTTTTCTGGTGTTTGATGCATTTTTTAATTCAATGACTTTGAACTTCAATGAGATCTAAGTTCAAACTAGATCTGAACTACTGTTAGAGCAGGTTCATCTTTTTGAAACATCACTGGATTCTGGATACTCTGTTATTTTGTGCTGTTCTGATTTATGGGCTTTCAGGAGTTCAGTGTGACGTACTCTATCTGCATATCATCCCTAGGAATCACTGCACAAAGTTGTACATTAATAAAACCAAGCTCTGGATTAGACAAAGATCTGGGACAGGCTGGTGCTTCATATGCTGTAGCTGAATACCCAGTAAGTACTGATACAACCTGCAAAACTAAGTATAATTACGGTCTTATTTGTTTTACTAGAAAATCTTTGTTGTTGTTTTATTTGTGGAGCTCATGCACTCCCTGCTGCATGGTAGTAGCAGGTTTCCTTTTATGTGGAGCAGGTGGCTAATATTGAAAAACTGCCTTCACGGTGTGAAAGACTTCTCTCAAAACTCATCTCAATGTTTGCAATTGGCTAGCAACTGGCATTCAAAAGRTGTTTTTGTATATATACAGTGCAAACATAAAGAGGAATAGGAAGAATAGTTTAGCTACTTGTCTCAGAGGCTTGCTTTATAAAAAGACCCCCTCAGTTCCCTTCAAAACAGCCTAATAAAGTGAATGCCCAAAAGTTTCAGATGATGCCTTGGAAGTATTGTGAATTCCTATCCTAATATGGCTCTCCGTTTCCATAAATCTTTAAAATAAAACCACATTAACCTTGGTAGTTGTCTGCTAGCCCTGGCTAGCAGGCTAGGATATCACATAAAATTATGCTCTGTTTTTTAAAAAAGAGATTTTATTTTTATTCACTTCTACTGAAGGGCTGGTCTGCAGTCTTACTCTCCAGCTATGTGATGCTTCCTTTTGCTTCTCCCTCTCTATCTGCTGCCCTGAAATGGAACAAGTAAATGATCAACAGACACTAAGGCAACATACCCTTCTTATAACTGAAGCTCTATTCTTCCTATTGGGTACTTCATATTCCATTAGGTTTCGATCCAAAATACCAGGTCTGACCTTCACTTAGGCTGAGTCAGCAGGATTTGACTGATTTCCAGGAAGYTGTGTAGGCTTGTGCTGGCTCTGTAATCCAGGTAAAGGAGCGGAACAACGGAGCCTTTACAAATTTTACAGTATCTTTACAAATGTGTGAAATACTGCACATTCTTTCGCAAACAGGACTAGGGAGAGCAGGCAGGGCAGTCTTGCTATGCCTATGTGATTGGATGCACTTGACTTGGGGGGAAAACAAGGGAGGCCAGAGTTCCTTATCAGAAATGACCACAGCATGAACCATAGTAGAGCAGGTACAAGTGTAATGAGCTAATGCATGTTAACTTTCACACCCAGGGTAGGCATAAAGTCAATTTAATTAGACATGTGATGTATGACCAGGGAGGGGGACATATCAAGGAGCCACATATGTTAGGTGAGCTGGGAGGTCTGTAGCTTCTGAGTACTTGAGGGAGTGGGGAAAAGGAGAGGCTATCTTGGTCAGGAAATTAGGATAAAAGGAGGCTGCACCCTCCTGTGGTTTGAGAGACCCACAGGGATATGCCCAGGTGGACTCTTCCTTTATTGGAATAAAGTTTTAGGACTCCTCTGTCTCCTTTGGACATTTGGTTCTTGACAGATTTTCTGCGTGTAAAGAACAGAAAATATGGCAAAAGAAGAAAAAGGAGAGGGTAGTATTTAATTTTACTGAAACAGATTCATCTTTGGTTTAAGAACAATAGCTGTGATGTGTTTGGTTTCTTTCCTAAATTTAGCCAAATGCCAAATTAAGCATCTATTGTAAGTTGGTTCTCTAAGTGCCTTCTGTAATCATTGGGGAAGGGCAGTACTTAGCTTCGTGCAGCAGATGTAGCTAATCAAGCTTCCTTGCTCTCTTTTAAGGAATTTTTGGGTTGATACGGGTTGATATGGACACTTACTGATGATTAAGGAGGCCCAAACCTACAGAGAGTTTCAGGAAAGAGCTGCAGTCTTGGAGAGAAGCTAGCCTAGATCAACAGGAGAAAAACCCATGCAGATGTTAACCCTCTGCGAGATCACCTGCTCTGAGGTTTCCTGCATCTCAATTGGCAAATGCCTTTGGGCTGAAGCAAGGCTACAAAAGGTTGCATTTAGGGATCTGATGTCCAGGCTTTTAGCTATTTAAACTCTTACCCGCCCCCTGGAAATAAATTACCTTATTCACTTATTTTTAGTCCTACATAGYGTCAGAGCAAAAGCCCCAAAGCAGAAAGGCATGTTTAAGTTCCAGRGAAGAAACTGAGGCTGTGAGGTTGAGGTCAGGAACTCAAAGCAAAGGCAGCAAACAAAACTCCGTCATGGGTTTCTTCGTTTTATTTGCCCAGAATGTGGCTGAAGTTACATTAGAGGTTCTGCATACTCCCATTTCCTTGCTTTAAAAGGAAAATATTTCCCCATCTTCATCTATATTCAGACACTAATAAACAGATGGTCAAATTAAAGAGACCCTATCGGCCAGAAAATTAAATGAATTAGAAATTCACCGGAGCTTCGTTCTCCAGATCATTCCTTCTTCTATTAAAATAAACAAACAAACTTCCTTTTCCCTCTGCTTTTCTTTCAGATGTGTTCTGTACTATGGGATCAAATAATTAGGCTGGTAGAAAATCCCTTGTTGGTGTTAGAAGCAGCCTCTACTGGGAGGAAGACTAAGATAACAGCTGGCTATTACAGAACAAGATATTCCATTGCCTTGAGCATATCTGTTTAAGAAAAAAAGAAGAGTCAGACTTTGAACTTGCTGGCTCAGTGATTACAATGGATTTCAGAACAGACTAGAAAAGTGAGCTGTGTTTTGAGTTGTGGGGAATTAAGGAGTAACTGTAATGAAATTCCCTTGTATACAGAATTTAGCTCATGAAACAAGTTACAGTGGAAGTGTAGCCTTCCAACAGTCAAAGCAAAAGGCAAGCAACGAGCAAGTCATCCAGTCAGGTAGCAGCCCCTGCTTAGAAAGGTCATGTAGGTTGCAGCTACGTTAACATTTTACTTCTGGTTGTCACTACTTCCCGCATGGTGGTTGAATTTGAAGAATGATTAGGGTCAGTAGATTAATTCTTTAGTTAGCCTCACTCTAGGGGAGCACAAATGCTCTAAGCTTCTGTCAGATTATATTTGGATCTGAAATAATTTCTGTGAACACAAAGAGTGAAGATTTAGCAGCGTTAGAACTAACTGCTTCGGTGTACTGCTGCATTTTTAATGTACTGGTTATCACCCATAGGAGCTGTAACACATGCCATTTTGTGGGCAGTCAGAGCTTGTGGCTTTAGGTTGGGGTTCGCTRTTGAGGTAGAAGGTGGTCGTGTTGTTTTCTCTGCTTCTCACAGTTTGACTGGGAGGTTTCTGAGAGTGAGCAAGCCCTGAGCGTCTTCCTCACACTTAATAAAGACATCAAGTCACAAATATATCACCGCAGTGCTCCCTTTCTCCTCTCATTTGTAACAGCTTCTATTTATTTGGAGGTTTCTCAAGTGAGGCTAGTGAGAATCTCTGTTATCAGCCTCAGTAATCCTCTGATTTGGTGCCTCGGGAGAACTTCGGTTTAGGCAATAGGACATCAATCCTTTCCTTCCTTCATCACCCTCCCTCCTCATTTTTTTACAGACACTGCAATCAAATGTGTCTTTGCTGCTTAGGAAAATAAGCTGCATCTTGATTCTCCCAACACGCCAAGGACCTGAACAAATAGTGARAGATAGGGATGCAAAACTGACTGGGTTAAATAAATGCAAGTACTGAAGGTGAGGTGACCATATCAGTGGTTTGCTTGGATATCTGTAGTGTGTCTGTGGACACACCTATGGTTAAGTAGAACTTCAAGCAGATGGCTCTTCATGCTTGTGCAACGCCTCTGCTGCTGCTGCACGTATCTTTCAATCAAAACTACTACTGCTATTATTCCTGTAAACTTTTACATCTGCTGTAATTAACTTTTATACTATAATTGCTTTCTTCGAAGAAAAAATAGAGGACCTTCTCTCTGTAGTCCAGACTCCTGCAAAAGAAGCTTCTGCTAGCTCATCTACTTTATCTCCTCTCATTCTCTGTTACTCATTAAGTGCATTTCTATTGTAAAAGTAATTCTTAACCTGCTTGCAATACTCACCTGCCTTTCTGTCTCTTAAATCTAAACATTTATGCTTTTTTTTTTTGTAATCCTACTCCGGTGCCTAAATTGCATAAATTTTCCTTGACTATAACTTTTCTATTCCTCTTGTCAATGGTTAAAGCTTCCAGAATGTCCTGGATCTCAAAGCCCTAGGTTAAGGTTGCTTTTATTACCCTTCATATGATACAGAGCTTGCTTTATAAGCTAGAGACTGTAAAACAGCCCTGGGGCTGCATTAAACATCTTGTGGATTTTTTGGCCTAGATTGTCCAACCCAAAAGGTGATGTTTCTTTTAATTTCTGACTTGAGTGGGAAGGTTGGACTAGATGATCTCTAGAGGTCCCTTCCAACCTTGAATATTCTGTGATTCTGTGACTTGTCCCTCTCTAACCTCTTACTTGAACTCCAATAACTTACATAAGTAAATAAAATTAGGGATCTCTTTTGAATGAATAAATTCCACAGTGAACTGAAAACTCAGAAGACTCATTTTGGAAATGTCAGCACAAAGCATTTCAGCATTTCTGAAATGAAAGATTTTATTACGGCATCTCCAGAATAGGAAGTTTTCTTTCAGAAGAATTTAACCCACTTTTCATGTTTACCTTTTTTTTTTTCAGTTAAATTTATTTACTAAGTCAATACATGTTAATTAATAATCTTGGTCTTTATGAAACTGATTTTTTTAGTGATTTTACTGTTCTTGTAAAAGAAGAAAACCTCACTATCCCATTATTTAACATTGCCACGTAGAAGATCACGGGAAATTTTCCTATGCAGTGATTTGGAAATGAAAAACAGGAGGAAAGCAAACTTAGCTTTTATTTTACCTAAAAATTAGTTAAGCAATTAACTTTTACAGATATACTGAGGAATAAATTATGTAGTTATTAAATAGCAGCAAAGGTTAGCTCAGGTGTTTCTTATGGTAGGTGAAGTGGACTTGATATCACTATATGATACTCTAGATTAAAGCAACTGTAATATTTGTTGTACGTAGTTACAGCAAGTTCTCTTCCATCCCCTCCTCTTCTCTCTTTTCCTCTGAGACGAACAACGTTCTGTGCAGCAGAGCTGCCCCTCTGGCCACCACCCAGACCCTGCATCCTGTGTGTCCAGCATCTCCTCTGGCCGTGGTGAAGCCTGCTGGGCCCTGACCACTTCTGAGGAGATGAATGTTGTTGCATCTTGACAACGGGTTCTGCACATCCTTGGGCTGGTTTCTACCCTTATGAACTAGTTTAAACCTTCTGGAAGATTTGCTTTTACCAGTTTGCAGCTTGTGATAAACGTGTTGTAATTCGTGGAACAATCTGTAAAAAAACAGGCTTATCACAAGTGTCGTAAGCTATGAGTGCAAGACACCACAAGAACACAGTATCAGCATAAGGCCAAAACCGCAGGAGATTGAAGCATGCGYAGAGCCCAGAGGAAGAAGAGCGGCCTTCATCAAAGACCACCAGGAGCCTCAGGGACCCCTACCAACAAGGAGAGAGCATGTGCAGAAGTATTGCAACAGACCACAGATAAGAAGCGAACCAGTGTATAAAAGAAGCTCCCTCTCGTACTACAGCGCGCGCCGTTGGTGGAGCGGAGACTCCCCGGCCGCCCAGCGCTGCTTGCTTGCTATTTACAATAAACGATACTGATAAATTAATTGGCTCGGAGAATTTATCAGTTTATAACAGAGCTCTAAAAACATACACACGCATCTGTAAATGCTTTGTGTATTTTGAGCTGAAAACAGGAATAAAACAGTACTAGATCAGCCCAGAGGCCTGGCTGGGTCTTTGTCCTGCCTTTGACAGTGGGTGATCACAGATTTTCATGAAATGCTATAAGAAAAAGAACAAATTTCCTTTCATGCTTCTAATAATCAGTGGCTGAGGTTGCATTGGCCCAGCGTTTTTAAGAGCTGCCTCCCTTAATTCCCGTAGTTTGGCTGCACTTTTGACTGCCTGTAGTAATGGCTGAAAAAGCCCCCACAAAGTCCATATTGGCAGCATGTCTGAGCATCGGGCGATGATCCTTGGGTGGCCTCTGCCTTCTTTCTCCTTCCCATCTCTCCTGCTTCACCAGGAGGGCTTGCAGGGTTCAACYTGACATCTCTCTATTGAGAATGTGCAAGGACTTCTGCCCCCCACTGATTACAGTGGCCTGGATGCCCAGCCCACCGTGCCTCGTGCAAGGTGAAAATCAGCCGTGCAGTTCGTGCCTCACCGGGACTTCTGGTAACGCTGCATACACCCCATCTTGGGTCCTTTGCCTTGCTTTCTGAGTTACTGCTTCCCTTTCCTCTCTTGCAATTTGCTTGGGAAATTTGAAAATTTTAGACATTGCATATGTGTAGATATGTGAAGCTTAGGTATCGTAAGCTGCAATATTACCTGTGAGATATATGTACTTCAAGTAGGTACCAGGGAGGGGATAAAAAGTCCAAAATTAAAGAAGTGATTGTATTTTGAGTGTGGCTTTGTGGCTTTTCATAGAGGAATATTATGTTTGGCCAGTTGCTGGTTAGTGAAAGACTTCCAGCTCTCCATATGGAGTGTACGGCAAGGTGAATGCTTTGTCAAGAACAACTAATACCTTCCACATCCAGGTAAAGACCTGCAAATCYGGAGTGTCTCTGTCAGGTTTGCTAAAACAAAACATCTGCGATTTAATCTGTCCCTGAGCCTATTGCAGATAGGTTCAAGCTGCCAAGTTAGAGGTAATTTTCCTTAACTGAGTGGAGATAGGGATTACGTGCAGTATCTCAGTTAGCATTTATGGGATGCTGTTCTAAGGAAGAGCTAATTTTTGATGCTTATATCTAAGTCACATCCTCTAGGTCACTGTCAGTACTCCATGTTCTACCAACACACAGCGAGGTAAATGTAGTCCTGCATGAGGTGCTCCCTGCTTTCTGACCTCTCAACTTCCTGCCCCGCTTATTTTTCCTCTTTGGGAACAGTAAAAGTGAAGATGCCAAATCCTCCTGAGTTTTCCTTGTGAAACACAGGACCTTGCTAAAGTCAAAATTTGCTTTTGCTAACTGCTTGCTTTCTCATACTTTATTACAAACAGCTTCTTGGCCATAACAAAAGATGAGCAATGTAGTCTTTCAAAAACATTCTTCAGTTGCAGACAGTTTGCATAAATGAAAGTTAAGGACACGAGAGCTTAAAGAGATTTAATTTTTAATGTTCCAAATGAAATATGATTGCTTTCCTACATCTACTGTAGTAGGTTTTTGCCAGGCACTTAAGAAAAGATAAACTCACTCAAATATATTTCTTGAAAACACTTATTTACCTTAATAGATTTTTTCCACCAACAACTACATTTATTATTTTAAAGTAGCCAGCACAATGCAGGCTATCAATATTTGGAAGAACTGAATTTGAATTTTTAATAGGTTTCAGTCTTTTTCATAAATCAAACTCACACTTAACAATTCTCCCAAATTTTAAAAGCATAAACACTTTTTTATTTCCCATAGAACCATATTAAGAAGGGATAGTACTTTTTTGTGGGGAAATAGTACATTTTTGAAGCACTTCTAAAAAATAGCTTGTGAACAAAARAAGGTTATTTGATGAACTTTTTGCAACCTCTTAAGCTTGATAATGTTTCTTTAAAATATTCAAGAAAAAGGTTTATGACTGATGTAAACATTAACCTTTCTGTTTGTTTATACCGAAAAAAATTACTGGAGGAAGGACAAAAAAAAAAAAGAAAAAAAAAGAAAAAAAAAGAAAAAAAAAAGTTCTTTGTGTATATTTCCAAGTAGGGATTGAAGAAATTTAAATACTTACATTTGTTAACTCTACAGTGGATTTATGACCTAGGAGAAAATATATTAAGTCATCTAAATTTTTCTTCTATTTCTCTGAATATGCCTAAAGTATAATGATTAGCAAAGCATATGAAAGGGCTGCAGCAGTAGGAAGAAAGTCCAGGTCTTAATATTGTCTTAGCTGATGCTTCTGGCTTAACCAGAAAATCCTGAAATATAGGAGATTGTGGCTTCTTTGACAGCTTGTGAACACGTGCTATTTTACATAAAAATTTAGGAATTAAAGACATTTTAAATTAGAATATGTTGGTGCAATTGCTGAAACAACCAACTGTATCTTTTGAGCATCCATTCCCACCTCTGGAATGCGACTTCCAACATTCCTGAGGAAGGATTGCGAGGGCACTAGGAACATGCACCATTGCACTGGAAGATGGGAAACAGCCTGGGTCTTTCAGGAGGAATTCTGCTTACAGTGGGAATTGTTCCCAAAACCATGTCCTGAGCAGTGCAGAAACAGCCTGTAGCACATGGAGAGTCTGGGAGCAGCCCCAAGGAAGGAGAGGGAAGTGTGTTGAATTTATCCCTCACCCAGGGGAACAAATTGAAGCCTTCAAGCTTCGAAGCTAGAAAACAGTTGGGATTTCCAGGAGAGGAGAGGATGAGTTTATTCCTAAGCACCAAGTGGTGGGAAGGAGTTGGGTGTTTTCAAATCCATTGTCTTATTTTGTTGGAACCAAAATGTTGTAGTTTTATAGGAGATATGTTTAAGAGTTCATAAACAGTGAAAAGCTGGGGCAAACTCTCAAGAATTTGGGCAGCTGAATCTTACCATACAAAGCAGAAAGAAGCTMTACCTCTGCTTGTGATGTACTAAGCTTGTCCTGTAGATGAAGCTCATCTTGGAGTGCAGTTAAACCAATGAAACTACATAAATCAGGAGCAACTGATCATTGCCCAAATCATTTGATCGAACTGATCAAATATGACAAGGATCATATGTGTCAGCTTGGAAAATCCTGACTGCATTTGTCTGCATCAAAGCAA